GTAATGGTTTTAAACTAAAAGAAGGTAGATTCAAACCAGATATAAGGAAGAAATTTTTTACAATGATCGTGGTGAAACCCTGGAACAGGTTACCCAGAGAGGTGGTAGATGCCTCATCCCCGGAAACTTTCAAGGTTAGGTTGGACGGGGCTCTGAGCAACCTGATGTAGTTGAAGATGTCCCTTTAAAGGTCCCTTCCAACCCAAATGATTCTATGATTCCATGATTCTATTGGGGAAATGGAATGAGGAAGAAGGACTAAGGGACTGGAGCATCTGACATACGAGGACAAGCTGAGAGAACTTGGATTGTTAAACCTATAAAAGAGAATGCTCAGGGGGATCTTATCAATGTGTCTACACAGGGGGGTAAACCAGACAGAGCCAGACTCTTCTGGGTGACAGAACAAGGGGCAGCAGGCACAGGTTGAAATTCAGGAAATTCTACTTAAACATAGAAATAACGTTTTCATTGTGAAGATAGTGGAACAGGTTGCCCAGAGAGGTTGTGGTGTCCCCACCCTTGGAGATATTCAAAACCCAGCAGAACAAGGTTCTGAGCAACTGTTCTAGCTGACACTGCATGAGCAAGCAGGTTGGACCAGGCGCTCTCCAGGAAGCCCTTTCCTACACCAAGGAGTGTACGATTCTGGGGAAGGAAGTAAGGTCTGCTTTTTTAATGACAGACAAAACAGTATCGCATTTGTCCCCTACTTTGATCAGAGCAACCACCAAATTCTCTCCCTCCCCTGCGCCTCAGCCCCGTCATTTTCTGGTATGTATTCCTCCTATTCCTTCACGCTTGTGTGCAATAAACCTGGGAAAGAAATGCTACTCTTCCTGGGCCCAATAAACCCCGGCAAGAGCCGCCCTGTGGACACCAAGGACACCTTCAGCGCACACAGCCCTGAGTTCGTGGGGGTCCTGCCGCCGTTCCCCACCCCGCCCCAGCAGCAGCGGTCGCGGCGGCCGCTGCCCGACTCCTCCGCAGGCCCTTCCACAGGGGAACGAGCCCGGACAGCGAATTGGAGCCGCCTGGGTTAGCTCGGGGACTCCGAGGCGGAGACAGCTGCGCCCGTCACCCGCCAATCCGGCTGAGGGCCTCGTTCCCCCCCCCGGCCGCGGCCTCAGGGCTCCCGCCTCCCGCCCGGCGCCCAACGGCGCAGGCGCAGCTCCGGAAACGACAACTCCCGCGAGGCGCCGCGGCGGGGCGCGCATGCGCGCGGCGGCTGCGCAGGCGCGGGGGAGG